ACACACACACACACACACACACACACACACACACGCCCTCTCTTCTAATAAATAATTATCCCTCAGTGTGATGTGGCTTTGGTCCAAGGCCCTGGAGTTTATGTGAGCTGCTTTTAGTGAAAAACAGTACCATATCCAAAATGGAAACATTCCGGCCACATTTTATGCATTTTTGTTTTTACCATTTTTACATTTTGAGCAATTACTGTTTCACCTGTAATTTTTATTCAGTCTATTGCAGTGTTTTTGCAAGCAGCTGTCTTGCTGCTCGCTAAACTGTTGCTTCATCCAGTAAGTATAAATTTTGAAAGTGTATATTTCTGAAAACAAATGAGTCAGAGTCAGAGTCATAGGAGTCCAGAACGATAAGCATTTGTAAGAACGGCTCAGGTCACTAGTGCACTGACTAACATTTTCATTTTGCTGTTTTTGAACACATGTTTGAAAACATTTTTTATTTTCAAATTGTATTTTTAGTTGCTCAGGTTTCTAGTTTGTTCTGCATCCTGAACACTGGACATGTAACACTGACTCCTTCTTTCATGCACATGTACGTGCAATCGATGAGAAACGCTTAAACTTGAACAAAGAAGGAAGAACAACACCCTCTAATCTAAATGTGACATTAGTTAGAATCTACTCAGAAGTGCAGTCTGTAAAAACAATAAAAAGATTTGCAGTCTCAGCTGGCTGGGGAAAAGCAAGGGAGTCATCCTCTTCTCATCCTCTCTTGCTCCTCCCCTTCTTCACTGAGTTATTCAGTATTTGAGCCTTCAAGAGAATAAGGAAAGCCAGACATTATAGAGACAGAGGGACAAGGAACTGTTTATCTCACAGGCTCCCACTTCAAATCCACGGCAGGTACCCAGGGAGCCTGAAATTTGGCATCCAGATTTTGTTCAACAGTCAGTTATTTTCATTATTCACTTTCTCACAAAAGATTGGAAACATGGCTCCTCTAGCGCATTGTGACCACTGATGTCTGTTTCTGCAGAAGTATTTCCTCCATGCTTCTTGTTTCTTCAGATATTGTTTTTGTTATGCGCTTAAGAGTTCATTAATGTTACTGTGATTTCTTAGTTGTACCTTCTTTTGGAATACGATCACTACTTTTTTGGACTGGATTTTCTTGAACCTCCTTCGCTAATGTTGACCGAACCGTGTGGAACCATGTCACTGGGCTCAGATGTTCGCGATCTGACCCTATTACAACCTGCGCCTCCTGTGCCATCCTTACCAGGAGCTGGTGGCGGCTGTGGGATGTCTGTTGGCGGGGGCCCGTGGACCCAGATGCTGGACCTCCACCCTGGCTCTCCATACAGCTCCCTGCCCTCCCACCATTCCCTCATCAAGCAGGAGCCTGGCTGGGGCACCGCTGATCCGATAGAGGACCCTCACTGTGGACTTGGGGCCTTCACAGTGCATTTCACTGGCCAATTTACAGGCTCGGGCCCCTGTCGGACCGGGGCCTTTGGAGAACCACCTTCAAACCAGCCAAGAATGTTTCCCAATGGAACCTACCTGCCCAGCTGTGTGGACAGCCCTCCTACACCTAGGAATCAGGGTGAGCATTCTTACTGCTAATCCCTTCTGTGATACCATCAGTCAATAAAATGTTTTTTTAGAGACAGCATCATTCTATACTGCCATTAAATGTGCTCTTGATGTTTAAGAGTGTTGTCAGTAATGTTGTGTCTGAGCAGCATGTCCTGTTCTTTACTAGGTCATTTCAAATCACAACAAATCCTTTGGCATCATCATTATTATTACCCCTCAGTTTTGGGTTTAATTAACACAGTATTGCATGTATACATAAAAAGTGTAAGTATAAAAAATAAAAATTGAGTCCTTTGACTTCAGCTGCTGTTTGAGCAACTTTTTATACAAAACAGAAGATTAGTTTGGTTCTTATCTGGAATCATAATTAAAAATGAAACTACATAAATTTTGTTTCAATGTTTCTGTACAGGAGATAAGACACATCTGCCACTGTCATAAACAATTCTTGCATTTGCTATCTGCTGGGGTACATTTAACCTACATGTTTGCCTGCTGCTTTCAGAGGAAGTGTGCATGTGAGACTTCTTTGCCCAGCGCAAAGTAGTTTTTGATGAAGTGATAAAACAGAGTGGTTTTCTGCAAGTGGCATGAATCAGGGAGTTTGTGAGTCATTTTTCTTAGAAATTTACTGACATCCCTTTTGGGCCTGACGCTGGGTATCACAAACTGTCCATACTGCGTTTGTAAAATAAACATCACATTCACTTTCCTTGTGATTGTACAATACTTGTGTGCTACAGCAGAATACATCAAAATAGTTTTCGTTACATGTTTCTTTCCCCGTCAAATAACTAAAATGATACTCTTTAAAATTTTCTCTCCCCTTCTATTTTTTTTTTTTTTACAAAGCATATGCTACAGTAGCTCACATCAGTCCATCTGTGGTGTGTCTGCCAAATTTCTTTTTCCACCTGCCATAAATAATGCAACCACAAAGCCAAAGATAGATGGGGGGAAAAAGAATATGTTACAAGGAAAGAGGATTTAGTAGTGCGATGAATGTCTCCCTGCGGTAAGCCTGCCAGGGACTAAGAGCTACTATCAAGGGGATATAGATAACTGACCAGATACTGAAGACTTTGCAAGCTTCAGAATGTTGCAGTGATGTTTGAGATGATGATCTAATGACTCGAGCAGGCAAATAGGCTCATTTTATTTCCATCACCTCTCTTTTTTGTTGTTTTTGTTTTTTCTCTCAGGTTACGGAGCAGTCGGTTTAGACAGCAATCCCAGTTACGGTCACACGCCGTCTCACCACACTCCTCAGCTCTCCAGCCTGTCATTCAAACACGAGGAGACACTGTCACCGCCAAACAGCATAGGTAACTCTTTACGCCCCGGCGCCTTTTCATTTGATCTGCAGACTGGAAGGCTGTCGTGTCACAGCAAGGTTATATACGTAACCCATCATTTTTCATATCACAACAGAACCGCTATTATCCATTTCCCTTCATCTCTCCCCATCTCTGTCTGCACACATATTCATATACGCAGACATACATAAACACACTCTCCCTCTTGCTCTTCAAGCATACAAAAGGTTAATGATTCTGGAAATTATAACTTGAGGAAATGGCTTTATGCGACTCTGTTGGAATGTCAAAAACTGTCTAGGGACCAATATACTATGTGAACCTGAAAAGGACCAGTGGTTCTCAACGACCTGTTCTCCATTCTGTTATTTTTTCTCTCTTGCCGTTCATGTGTCTTTGAAATGAACTCATATTTGTTTTACAAATAAATTTAGTGTGTCTGGAAAAATGATTCAATATAATATCAATGGTTTAGAAGCATTTATATCGCAAGTGGAACAGTGATGTATTGTATGTAATATATAGTTTTAACCAAAAACCACTAAAATTAACAATGTGTTCAGTGTTTTCTGTTTTTTTCTATGTATTTCACAGTTTCATGATCTTTTCTAGACTCCCAGCTTTTCATTTAAAAAAAGCATATTATTTTAAAATCTGAAAATGAAATTGTTGTAAACACTGCATCCATATTTTAAACCAGCCTTTGTATTTTTTCATTTGATTTAGTTGACCAGCAATTTCCAGCGCCTAATCCTATGTTCAGCTGCCATAATCCTTCAGACTCTTGTCCGAGCAGCCAAGCGCTGCTGCTGCGAAATTACAACAGGTACAATAATTTATCCCTGTATGAGTTTGTTTTTGCTTTATTTCCCCTTTTTTCTGGTCCTCAGTCATCAGTTCATGTCAGATTCTTTCCACTGACACCATATGCAGCTTGCTCACTTGCTGGTCATTTTTAGAAGTGTGAACTCTCCCTGATCCCACATTAAGCCCCGTGTTTGCCTCTACAGCGTCTGGGTTGTGAATCCTAATTTGTTCTGAGGTTAAGTGCTGCCCACTGGTGCTCAGCAGGCCAAAACAAACACTTAAGTGATCTACTGCTGATGTGTGTCAGTCCACCCTCAGGAAAAATGAGGAGAAAAGTAAAAAGGAGAAATGTTAAGTGAAAGTGAGAGTTGCGGAGAAGCTGCCACTGAAAATCTGCTTATTAGAATCTGTAGATGTGTTTCGCACTTGTTTTCGTTTGGATGGAAAACATCTCAAAGGGTAAATTAGGATGAAATTCTTCAAATGCCGGCCCGCGATGTTGTTGAAGAAAAGGAACATGTACAACTCAAATACTGGGACGGCAGCTGATAAGAACGGGGAAGACTGCACTGTTGTTAGAGCTATTGCATGAACTGGAAACCCTCAAACAAACACGCACACGAGTGCACGCGCTCATACACATGGTGTACATATGTCAGATATCAGTGAGTCTTTGCACAGTTTTACTTAGTTCAGAACTGATTAGTGAGCCATCGCAATCCTTCCCTCAAGGACTTCTGAAGGAATGTGGTCCAGAATTCCCCTGAAAGTGTTTCTCGCCATTAATGATACCGAGGACAGAGTGATGTCATCCACGGGTCCAGGGTGTACTAGGCACAGAGGCTCTCACCCCCACAATGAGTGCACAATCCCATCTTCAAGTGTGCGAGTTTGTGTGCTGTGTTTGTGTGTGTCTGTGTGAAGTAGTGTGATCTGCCAAGGTAAAGAATGGCTCAGTGCCTGTGTCTTTTAATGAGGCCAGTGAGGAGTGTGGTGGGTGGACAGCATGTGTTAATAAGTGAACCATTTGGACTTCCCCTGAATGAAACATCTTCATTTTATGTACAAGGGAAGAAAACTGTCAGGAGGAATTCAGAGTAAATCTTGTCTGTGATTATTAATTTCAAGGTTATTTCCAAAAAGTAACCAAATAATAAAAAATAAAAAAACCTGAACATAGCCTATAAATTACTTTCCCCCGCTTTCCTAACTCTGCTGTGAGTGCAGTGTTAACCCTGTTAATGCCGTATGCTGTATGTTTTACTCAGTGATAACCTGTACCAAATGGCATCTCAGCTGGAGTGTGTAACATGGAACCAAATGAACTCCTTGGCATCATCTATGAAGAGGTGAGACTTTGTCGCTTTTTATTTTCAACACCATATGGTGCAGTTTTTAGTCTTCACTGGTGCTTTGTTTATGTGCAGTCTTTCACTTCTAATGCATGTTCTAAATGCTGAGTTGAGTATTTGAAGGTTTTCTGGTTTAGGCTTCTATAAAGTCATTCAAATTTTAAAAAAGGAAGAAAAAAGAAGGAAAACAGAAAGAAGGGGCCATTTGTGCTAAAGAATGTGAGACGAAGCTTTCCTTGCTCAAAAAATAAAAAAAGTCTCAGATGAAGTTTATGTAGGATCCCGTCCCCTAAATTTACAAGCTGAGTGAGAAAATATATCTTCAGGGCCCTGGATATATTGTTAGAGGCAGGCATGTTTAAGGGTTGTTTGGAAGAGAAGAGGAGAAAGGCTTTTGTTCAAGTTGGAAATCCCTCAGGAAACATGGCATTTATGTCCTAAATACTCCACTGTTATAATTAACTTGTAACTTTGTTCCTGCCTACCAGCGGCCATCCAACCAGCTATGACAGTGACCCCATAGCCCCACCTCCACCCATGCTTGTCAGCACCCAGTACCACATACACACCCACGGTGTCTTCAGAGGACTTCAGGTTAGTCAGGTTTGGTCACACATATGAACAAAGACAGAAAGTGAACTTCCTCAGTGTAAATCCTTCTCATTTCTTCTTAAAGGATGTCAGACGGGTATCTGGTATCACTTCCCCTGCTGCGAAGACTTCAGAGGCCAGTGAGAAGAGACCGTTTGTGTGCGCTTATCCCGGCTGCAGCAAGAGATACTTCAAACTGTCCCATCTGCAGATGCATGGCCGCAAACACACAGGTGGAGGCTGTTTAGAACATTTGTACTCATTTGTCCTGCCCACTTTGAAATGTGACGACTTTAGGCTTCGATGATGACGGCTGGTTTGTATTGCAGGAGAGAAACCATACCAGTGTGATTTCACAGACTGTGGACGCAGATTTTCTCGCTCGGACCAGTTAAAGAGACACCAGCGCAGACACACAGGTAGAGTGGTGTTAAGCTAGTATATCTAATTCCTCATTCCACTATAGATAGGTACATCAGGTTTCCTTTTTGGACAATACATTTAAAAAGTAATTACTTAAAGGATTTTGAATTTCCTGGTAGTGTGGAGGAGGCAGTTTTGAATGAATAATGAATATTTTTTTGAAGCGAGAAATGAGTCATTGTAATTAGTGTTTCATTATTTATAAAATCCTGGCTGCTGCCTTAATTCGCCTTTTAACTCTTTTTTCTTAAACCTTCTTACTGCTTTCTAAAAATATAGCGGCCATCATTATTGCTTCAAGACCCCGTAATGCATGAAACTATATCATTCAATCCAGGAACACAACAAAATAAATATTTAGAAATTAATTCACTACGAGAAACAAATAATTTTTCTATGTATTGTGATTTTGTATTTATTTAATTGATAACACTGAATGCTGCATAACCAGAGTGATCAATTATAATCCATGAATGCTAGAATTCCCATATCTAGAATGAATCTAGAGTAAATTTGATCACATTTTCTTAATAGCAATTTTTAACCACTTAATCTTACACTTAACTTCTGACCCTCTTCTTACCGTTTCCACACTCATTCATGTTTCTGACGGTGCAACAACAACCGTCATCTCTGCGTAGGAGTGAAGCCCTTTCAGTGTGAGACGTGTCAGAGAAAGTTTTCACGGTCAGATCATCTTAAGACACACACTCGGACTCATACAGGTAAAACAAGTGCGTATACCTTTATTTTCTACTTCTCCATTCGAATTGATTTACACACAATAAGTGCCTTCACTGAATTCACTCTAAAGCAATGCTTTCTCCTGTTTTTCCCCCCTTTTTTTGCGTGTCCCCTCCTTGTCAGGTGAGAAGCCCTTTACATGCCGCTGGTCCAACTGTCAGAAGAAGTTTGCCCGCTCTGACGAGCTGGTGCGCCACCACAGCATGCACCAGAGGAACCTGACCAAGCTGCAGCCTGCCATCTGAGCAGCAAGAGGAGGAGGAGGACAAAGAGGAATGTGACAGTATGTTGTGCCAGCTAGTAGAAAAAGATGCCTGGATCCTGGTCAGCGGTTATGGTGCTTTGCCAGACTTACCGAAGTGGCGAGCGCAGCTGACGCCTGCGTCAACGTCAAGACTCACAGATGATCCCCAAGGTCGTCAAGATGCACTTCAACCACTACTAGCAATAAAAGTGCCATTTTGAGAGGGTATAATGCCACAGTAATGCTGAGCCAAGATTTTTGTTTTTAACTTCATGAGATGAGGAAAATGTTGACATACTATTTTGAATATTTTGCGACACATGCACTGGCTTCTTCTTTTGTTTTTAAAATGGTCTCACCTCTTCAATATGTTGGACATTGTAAACTGGATTTAGAGCAATAAGAACAACTCCTCAGTGTTTGTCTGTTAAGTTGAACACAGAGAATCTTCGGTTGTGGGAATGTCGACATCTTTATCTTCCTAAAGTGTACATTAGACTGCCCAGATTGCTTTGTATATACTTCATGTGGTGCATTTGCTCACAATATATGGTGCCTTTTATATTCTTGTGCATTTATAAAATCTTGAGTCACATCAGTGCACGCTTGTGTTGGCGAGAGACAAAGGAGGTGTGGGTGTTGTCAGGTTAAGAGGCCACCTATGAGACGAGGTGGGGGTGTGAGGTGGGTGACAGACAGTAAAACAGCACCCCTCTGTGACTCTGACAGGTTGCAGATCTCACCCTCCTAAATCTCAAGCACACATCTTCATAAATAGGAACATCTGGAGCCCAATAAATCTCATTAGAAAAGACACATACCTCAGTGTCAGCAGGCTGCTCTCCACTGACTGCCCCCTTATACGCAGGCTGGGCCCCAAAATGCACACATGCACATGCTTGAGTTCTTGCTGTACATAATAGCCTGCAGTTTAGAACAACACTTTACACCTTTTATCCACATGATGGCAGTGTCATCCTTTCTCGTCTTGCAAATGGAACTTGTACTCAGAGTTCTCGACTGTGACTGAATTCATATACTGTTTATATTTTACCACCTCAGCCTGAAGATGTCCAATTTATTCTTGCATGTTGAGTATCAGTACAGACTATATTTCGGTCCGTGAAATATACATGGTTTCAATAGAATGTGTGTTTTTCAGCTTATCTGCAAATCTAGAGGAAAGGCGATGGGATGATTCAGCTTCAGAGGGTGTGTTAATAAAATATGACTCAGTGTGGGCAGAAAGTGTTGTTGCATGGCTCATAGTATGTTTTAACTGTTATCAGTGTGCTCGCATATGGAAAGCACAGTGTACGTTTAAAGAAGACATTTATCCAACAGAAGCCCAAACAGGGCACAGTGTGTACCTGCTCTTTTCACGGCAGCCCTTTTACACTTGACGAATTAACAAAGATTAAAATGCCTTTCTCCTACTTCAGGGTCACGGACGGCTCATTTGAAGCGCAGATTCAGGTTGTTTTCCAATTCCCATAATGGCAGGGAGGTAGTATCTCTGTGATGTTTTTTTCTGCTTCTTAATCCAGTGCACTTTGATTAAGAAGGGCTCGTCTTTGTTCTTACTCAGCGGGGGTGTTGTGAATTGCTGGAAGATCAGACGGACAGAGTGAAAGACAGAGCTGAACATTTTACTCACTTCAGTTCACTCTTTACTGGATATTGGCAAGGCTTTCCGGAGCATGAGGTTCTGATGCTTTAAATGTCCTCAGTCTTTACTACCAACGACTATCACACTCGCTCAGATCTGTGCCCTATACACTGATCTTCTGCATTTCTTTGCGGGCATGTGTATTACCCAAACAACACAATAAATGTATGCACTCAGTCCCATCCTGCCAAATGTTACCCCCAGTCTGAATGCATGAACACACACATAGGCGTACACACACTCACTCGCTCGCGCACACGCCACCAGATGCCCCCTCAGCTGTACTGCTGGCAGTTTGCCTTTAAGGGGTGTCGGCATGGGTAATCTCAGGTGACGTACACCTGGTAAGGCACAGCCCAAGACATCTGTAGGACAGCAGGCCTGCTAGCTTCACAGCCTCCACAACCACATGCAATGTCCCGAAAAGGTTTCTATCAAAAGTAAAAGTTATTTAAATTCACTGTCACAAGGAAAGCAAAGGAAAAGGTGCATCTTTTTCATGATTTAGTTGTATGGAACAACAAGCTGTTTTTTGTAGTTGGTTTAAAAAGGAGTGGTCTTATTTTTCACTATGTCATTCGGTGAAGTCCCAGGTGCTTCCAACATCAGCATACATTTCCCGCTGTGTTTCTTTGGGCCAAAAGACGTTATTTAACCTCCAGGAACTGGAAAGGTCAGTGCACATGTAGCACACACAGGCTCTTAGGAGCCCCAAGGGATTGTTAACAAGGTCAACCCTCCAGAGAGACAACTCAGAAGGGTTACAAGGAGGCCCGCATGCAAAAACAATGCTGTGCCAACAGGAGGCGCTGTCAGGTAATGTTCACATGTTAAGTGAAGCATGCTGTTAGTTTTATTCCCAGACAGCTTTCTCCCCCTCCCTTCAGGCTAGCTCTCTGGTGCAGAGCTGCTGCTTCACAGTCTGAGGGGGTCTAGGGGTTCTTGGGGGTATTCCCTGTAGTAAAGCAGGGAGCCTGAGGGGCTCTGGTATGTAGGAGCTTTGGGAATGCAGAGGCCTTGGGGGGCCTGGAGCTCAGATGGGGCCTACAGGGTAAACTTTCTCACTCAGGGAGCAGAGATGGAGCAGATACAGAAAGACAGCGAGGGGAAAACACCTTGAGAGGAGTCTGTTAGACATGCAGGCAGCAGCCGGAAAGATCCCATGAGGGTACACAGACACGGGAACAAACACACACTTACGTATACCCTAACCACAAACCAATATGTGGGACAGCAAGGAGAAGCAGATAGCACGTTTTATGTATTCACGCTCTCATCAGAAATTTCATCTTTTATCTTCCCATCATTTCTCCCTCCTGCTGTCTCTTCTGTGCCACGGGAAGATATTAACGTCTAACAGGATTAGATGTGTCTCTATCATGTGATCTAGAAGCTCACAAACCAACTCATGCCCCCTGGGGGAACAGTGGGATGGGAAAGACCTTGTCTCCCCTCTCCATCCCAAAGGTATCCAGATGCTGGGACATGGGGAGAGAAACCCACAGAAAGAGAGATGAAAATGTCGACAAATGGAGCGAGAGAGTCATTTTGTCCAAAGATATCAAGTCTCACGGGGACAGCATTGTCTACACCCTCACTGTGATGAATTTCAAAACAACTCAACTGCGGGCCACTTTGCCCGCCTTTTAATTAAAACTTGAGAAGTTCCTCTCAGCGTATATCATGTGAGATATGCTGCAGCTTGCCAGAATGTGTGAGTGACTGAAGAAGCCATTTGAAATCTGTTTGAAACTGATTTCGAGTCTTCCTGACCTCAGTCCAAAGGGCTCCCATTTCTCCTGAGGCAGTTACAATTAGTTACCAACTCACTAAGTTTATGGTTCCTAAATTGAAATATATTGCTCTTTAAAGCCTTCTCTCTAATTGTGTAGTCATTAATTGCTGATTCCCTATCTACACTGTGTTGATGGGCACATAAAAACTCATGGTGATAGATGAGCGCAAGTGCAGTTCACAAAAAAAAAAAAGTCAGGGTGTACGTCTTATTCATCCTCACCACCACTAGGAGGAGTAAAGTCCTCGGATAATTCTCTTTGGTAAAAGAAAAGATACAAAAGTCATTGTCCATAAGTAGAAACACATTTATTAGCCCACATTTACAATTAAATACAATCACATGAATTGGATGAAAGACATAATGGCCTTTGCATGAGGGCAGTTCCCTCAAATCAGCCTAGACAGGAAGGAAAAAATATATTTCTGCAGTCATCTGGATGTTTGAAATGTTTTCACACACAAACAATTCCTCACATAAAGGCTGTTTGTACATATTAGCCTGAATAAGTCTGGTGGAAAAATCCTGAATACCTTTATTTATTTATTTATTTTTGGCCAAAAAAACCCATCAAATATAGACATGCTGAATGTTTTACATAGTGGAAAGACTTAATTGTGTGATTTAAGTGAGACTGAGGATGATTGGATGTTTTAATGTTCATTATGACAAATGGAGGGATCCGCTCTTTCAGTGAAATGTCCATTTCTGATGAGTTTTTCTAGAACAGTGATTGTGGGAAATTTCATCTGGTGAACAAGAAACTGAACAAAAAAATTTTGTTTAAAGTTCACAAGTAGGTGGTAATTCCTGGTACATTTCACTGTAGTTAATGTAAGCTAAGGTAAGTTCATGTTGACTGGACACTTTATATATGTATATATTTTTTTCCATTAGTACATCTATCGACTACACAGCTTGTGTAACCAGGAAGTAGGTGCGATACTTGTATCCAACAATAAATAATCTTAAGAACAATGTTACTATTCTAAATGTTATGTATCTTTTTAACAACATCTTTGTTTACAGCAAATGTTTAGCCTAATAAGTACAGAAATTAATATATAATATTGTTTGAGCTGTCACATTAAGCCACGTATCATATCTATATGAAAAAAAATAGTTGGACTTTTTTCGCCTTTATGCCTGTTATTATATAATGGGCATAAAGCTTGTTATGAAAGCTTCAGAACGGGATGGGTCAGATGTCCCAAAGATCATTATAAACAACACCCTGGGCTATAAATCCCCAGGGTGGAAGGAACAAACACAGGACATAATAATAGACAAAGATGAGGGAGCGTACACTTGGATGAAAAATAGGGCATCGTGATTATGTGAGTCAGAGAGGAGCAGGGGAGCTAAGGGGGAATTGGATGCTATGCGTACTTTGTTATGGTGGCTGTTTAATTGTAGCAGTCATTTTGGCTTTGGAGCTGTTAATTGCTGATATGGAAATAGAAGTGTGCTATAAAAAAGCTCTTTAAGAGGAGATTGTTGGTGGACACTTGGAAATTGTATTGGATCGGAAGGGTGGGTGGGGGTGAGGTTGTAGACATTAATATGTTGCACTTTATGACCCTCCTCTCCCACTGTCTCCACCCTGTTTTCACCCAGAGGGCTCATTATTGTCATAGGAGAGGAGCTGATCTACGCAGACACTCATATGAGAGCCGTCTGAAGGCATTAATGTGCACACACTCCCCCAGTGTGAATGACTAGAACCTATCATAAACAGCAGGAGCAGACCGTTAAACATGGCCGCTAGGCAGGTAGTCCACGCCCCCCCCCAGTCCCCCATCTTGTTCATGCAAACACACATTTGGTTCTTTTACATCTCTGTGCACCACTAATACTTGTCCACCTTCACTCACACATTGGCTCAAGGACATAGATGCACCCTGACACATGACAACCCTCATATGGTATCTGGAGGAAGTACATTGAGTAACTTAGTGCAATTATTCAAATGTATGAAGCAAGACTGACTCCACACTCCTTAGCAAAGCAGTAGAGAAAATATTATGTTATCTAACAGAGAAAAAAAGAAGAAGCAGATAATACAGACACCTCCGCTCTGAACCTTCCTCAGAGCTGGACCTGTTTTTTTTTTCTTTTTGACAGATAAAGAAATTCATGTATTCTTGGATGACTGTACAACTGGAGCCATGCCCATGTTTGTTAGCCTATTTCAACAAATTCTTATGGAAAAAAGCAAAAACCAAACATTCTTATTGTTAAGTTATTTAAACCTGAAAAAAAAGCTCTCAAGTAATTCAAACCAGAGTAAAAATATCAAACATGACTTGGATATTTGGAGGATAGTTTTGTAGCCATTTTTGGCTTCTAGTTTGAGAGTGAAGAAGAAGGAGGTCTTTCATTAGAACGGAATAAAACAGCCCACACATACATTGCTCTGTCCCTTGTTCCTAATGAGCTTTATCGCATTGGTCCCGCTTGACTTGTCTTGCTAACTGGCACACATATATCCATATGTTCCACATGAGCAAGCAGAGGGGATAGGCTGGGTGGCAGAACTGCTTTCTCAGTTACATCTGAGAGTTTTACTGCAACAGCCAGGAGCAACAGCAAGTCAGCTTAACTCCATGTCTGCTTTCCACGCACACGTGTGTGTGTGTGTGTGTGTGTGTGTGTGTGTGTGTGAAGTCTGTAATTAGTCCTGAGAAGTGTTAATAGTGTTAATAGTGTTAATAGCGTTAATAGTGCGCTTGTTCCTGATGTTCAACGAATAAAAAAGTTGAATCCAGACTTGAAAAGTTGAGTTGCCTGGACGATTAGCTGTCTTCATTGGTGAAGCTATAAAGACAGGCAGCATTCAAACACAGGGATGTTTTACAGAGGTTAGGAAGGCAAGCCCCCAAAAAGACTGACAAATAAATAAATATTGCAGCACAATAGGAAAGAAGTTTTGAGAAACTCAGTGGTGTGTTTAAAAGTATTACGTGTTGTATGTAGGCCGGTGTCCAGTCAGTGAAACAGATGAACACCAGTGTTCACCTGTACCTGTTACCATTTGTAGCAAGGACACAGAGAGAGCACGACACCATGTCACACTGACAGTGGAAAATTAGTATTTTAACTGGTTTTCTACATGCATAATGATTTTTATTAAGTTGTGACGATGATGCTGTAAATAAATGTAAATGTTGACCATTCAGAAACTGCAGAAACCCATGATTATGTTTGAGGTTATTAATTTAGCTAGTAGTATTAGCTATATGAATTCCCAACCCAATACATTTAAGCATTTAGACTTCTACCCATCCTCTTCTGCTTATCCTTGTCAGGGTCGTAGGAGGGCTGGAGCCTATCGAGGCTACCACAGGTCACTAGCCTGGCGCAGGGCTAACACAGAGAGAGGGAGACGATTCGCATTCACATTCACGTCTATGAGCAATTTAGATTCACCAACTGCATGTATTTGGATTGTGGGAGGAAGCCGGAGTAGCCGGAGGGAATCCATGCAAACGCGGGGAGAACAGACCTAACTCCACACAGAAAAAACCCCCAGCCAGGTGGCGGAATTGAGCTCAGGACCTTCTTCTAGTGAGGCGTCAGTTCCATCGTGTCACAGTGCTGTATTTAGACTTAGTTAACCTAAAACTGCGGTTTGCCTTAAATGAAGTTCAAACTGTGTATCAGAATGAGGAAACGTGGTTATTTAAGTGATTTTAAGTGTGGCATTGTTATTGGTGCCGCTATTTTGGCACTTACAAATATGCAGTCTGTGGCAAACCCCTGAGTAAAAAAGCCTTATTGATGCCACAGATCAGAGCCTCTGATCTGATTCATAGGCGAATGGCCAGACTGCTTTGAGCTGATGAACAGTAACCCGAATAACCACTTATTACCAAGGTATGCAAAAGAGCATACCCAATTGGAAAAGTCTAACCTTCAGGCAGGTGGGGTACACCAGCAGCAGACCACACTGGATGTCACAACTAAGAACGGGAAGGAGAATTAGGGCCATTCTGATGGCACAAGAGATCCAAGTCTCTATTGGGAAAGTCTAACTAATAAAGTTCAACTCACTGCTGAAAGCCCTTTAACTCAGAACAAACACTGAACAATGTGAAATAGCTGGCCTCTAATAAGACGTGTCATATTTAACTCAAACACAAATTAAAAGTGCAAGTAACATGGAGTAAAAAAGAAAACGCATTTCTACATGTGTGGAAACGCATAGCAACTGTAGTTGGATACATTTTGTGAGCATGTGCAGTTTCTAATGCAGGTTTGTGCCTGTGTGGTATGCAAATTATGCAACTTGGGATTGGGATACATCAAGACAGGGAAAACATTAAAGATTTTTTTTTAAAAGGTGTGTGTAAGAGTGAGCGTGGGTGTGTGGGGGGGGATTGAGCAACAGTGTCCTGATCATTTACTGACATTTATTTTCACACACACACACTACATTGTTCTAATAATAATAATAATAATTATAATAATAATAATCCAGGTTGATAGGTACAATGCCAAGACAAGGAATAAGTCTTTGGAGTGAGGTAAAAGTAAGCAAGAACTTACTCGTGAGAAATCAAGGAAGGGAGACTTTATTTCCACCCATTACATATTCAGTAGGCCTTAGCCTAATTGACCTTAAAATCAGACAGTTGTAAACAGATAAAGTTAAAAATGAAACATCAAAAAGTGAAAATGTGAACACTGAGCACACAGTTGGCCTTACGTATACCAATAAATACATTTCAAACTAAATGTGGAGAAACATTTTTTTCACAGGCTACACTAAAACCAAATGCGTGCAAAAACCATGCCATTAAACATCAGTAATCAACAATTCTTAAAATACTTAAAGGATATAAAAAGTCTTTAGTTAACAGGACAATAAAACTGTAAACAAACAAACGAAAAAACTAAATTTGTGTTGTCTGTTTTTCTGAAAAGGAAAAGACCTTTAGTAGAACACTATATTCCTCTCAAACCTAAAGTTCAGAAGCAATTTAATAAATAAATAAATTCAGAACAAACGTTCTGAGCTGTGGTTTCACATTAGCATCAAAAATTGTTCCCATGTCTGACAATACTAAGCTTTGACAAGTTTTGTTACAGACTATCTACACAAATCTCTGAGGCAATGAATCTGGCGATTCGGCTGGAAGGCACCATTGTTGGAAAGTAAGTCCACGGGGTCTGGCTTTGCTCCTGAATGTCAGAAGCACAACATCGATACGAAGACTGAAACAGACCCACAGAGTTAGTGGTAGGATCGACACTCATGCGTCCTCTCATTTGGTACAATGTTGGTTTGAAGTCTAACAAACTGACATCTGTCCCACTCTTACTGTCACTGTGTGTGATTGTGTCTTTGCAGACCAGCGACACACACACACACACACACACACACACACAC